CTGAAAGTAGTAGAGAAACCATTAAGGAAGAGCGGAGGACTTGGGGGAGGGTGGAGAAAGGGTTAGTCATGAGATGGCAGTAGGCAGGGGCATGCGCTTGAAGCACGGTATATGCAGTTATGGAAATGTCACGAGGAAGCCAGTTAATGTGTATAATTGCTGTGTATTCATAATTATAATTTACAAGTTTAAAAGAGAGTTACATTTTTAAAAAATCCCTCCAGAATAAAAGCCAAATCCAAATCCAAATGTCGACAAAGTCCCTACGATTTCATACCCCTGGCCCGCCTTGTCTGTTTCTCCCCGCCATTTCGCATTCTCTTCCCCCACCCCAGCTCCCTCTGCTGACTCGGGGCCCCTGCCTTAACCCACTTCTCTGGATACCACATGGCCCCTTCCCTCATCTCCCTCCATGAGTGTAGACTCCATGAGCCAGATTTGGTTTCACTTTCTTCATTCTTACTCCCCCAGTGCCCCATTAAATGCCATGTAATGGACACTTTCATTTACTCGAAGGAGGAAGGAAACAAGGAAACTGAGAGGTACCAGGAGGATGGCATGGAGTGAAGTGAAAACTCCTGCAGAGGAAGGTATAGCCGTAGAAACCGTGGCCTGCTGTCCTAACTGGATCGTTAGATTCCACTGCTGAGAAGGGCTCTGAAATTGACATTCTTTCTGGTAATTTGCTGTCGATGTCTTTCTAACCTCAACAATTATGTTTTCATTTCTTTCCTTGCCTGGAAAAAATGTCTTTCCTGTAGCTCTCATTGACTCCCACCTGGCACAGGAGTATGACAGATGACATAGAATATATTGTCTTGGCTTCCTGTTGCTCTCTGTGGAAGCTGGTCTGCCTCTCCCGGAAGCCGTCTTGAACCCCATCTGCCTGGGCTCCCCTGGACCTGCCTGCCCTTCACTCCTCCATGGCCATCTCATGACGAGGCCTACCTGCTGCTGCCACCCCTCTGTGGGGCCCTTATGTTCCTCTTCTAGGTTTCTCTTTTGGATTGCACATTTCTTCCAATAAAATCGCTAACAACATATGGCCCGTTATGATTCTCTTTTCCCAAACTCTGCCATTTTGTATATTTGTGACATACTGCAGATTTTGTGAAGATTGCTTCATAATATTTGTTTACCATCTGCTGCACTCTATTTGGTATCTTGCTAGGATTTTTTCCTCCATTTTAAGTGACATTAACAAAATCCAGCCAGTGCATAGACTTTCTGGTTCTACTTTTGCTTCCCTAATGTGCTGGAAAATCATATTACTGTGCTCCAGGCAACCAGAGGAGCCTGGAGTTCTCATTGTGAACCAGTGTGTCAGATATGCCCCCCTCTTTCTCTTGGTTATATTCACTAATGCTTTCTTGGTCAGATGGCAAAGAACCTCCATGTGTAAGATGGAAAGAGTTCAAGTTATTTTTCTACTTCTTTCCACTTTAGTACGACTACTTTTCCAATGTTCCTCACCATTATGTTTATACCTTTGAAGCTCTTTGTGCCATTTTAGTAAGTTTATGATGTATAATTCTAGCTAGTATAACTCTTTTTTTTTTTTTTTGGTTTTGTGAAACAGGGTCTCACTATGTAGTGAGACTGACCTGGAACTCATTATGTAGCTCAGGCTGGTCTTGTACTCATAGTGATCCTCCTGCCTCAGCCTCCCGAGTGCTGGGATTACAGGCATGCGCCACCACACCCTGTGAGCTAGTGTAACTCTTAATAGCTAACCCAGTTTCATAGTGTTTGTGAGATGGGTTGTATTTGTCTAGCTTTTTGTTTAGAAAGGTATTTTAGGGTACTGTCAGAGTAAACTACTTGGCATGTACTTCTGATTTCTTATTGTTCATTCATTGCTCTATTACTTGTCTTTAGAGAGACACACACACTCTCGTTTTAAGTGTTAAGGTGAATGCTTCGAAGTTGGGCCACATGAAGGGGTCAGAGATAGTTTAGATTTTGCCTTTTGGCCAGAATTACCATTGTTCCCATGGGTGTGGTTATTTTTCCAATTTAGTCTCTTCTTTGAACAGGAAATCTTAGTCTTCATTAAAGCAACTGTGTACAGATATTAGAGTGAAGCAAACAGTTCCCCAAAGAAGCCAAGATTGAGATAAAGTCCAGTCTTAACAATCCACAAAAGTTATTAATTACTGTGTCACATAAGCTCGATTTTATCCCCAGGCTTTATTGGGATGCGTCTTTCAACTTCCTTGAAATCATTCTGTTGGAGTCAGACCCCTGAAGGTACAGCACTGACCCTCCACAACAGGACTGGAATCAAAGCTTGATCTTTCCATTTGCTTAAACTAGTGCATTGGTGATAGTGTTTCACAGCTGCTTTTTACAGAGCTGCTCTGCACAGCATTATTGTACTAGTTGACTTCCTTCAGGTTGGGTATTTTTTTTTCCCCTCTTCAGAAATAATCTAAGATTCCGTAGAAATCTAGAATTACAAAATATTTTGTCCTTAAGTACCCTTACATAGTTAAGGCTGGCTTTGAGAATTTAAAGATCTCCCTTCCCTCCCTTCCCCTCCCTTCCCTTCCCTCCCGCCTCATATCTTGATTTAGAGAGACTATGTTCTAACTGATGTTTATGGAATTTGTGCCCTCTCTTCAGAAACTATAAGAAAGCTTTCTCTTGTACTAAACCTCCCGTCCCATACAGACAATACCTATTGAGGGCTTGTGTGTATCACACTTTGTATGTAAGCACCCCTTTTGTAGCCTCTATATAGCTAGCTCTGGTGTAGAAAGATTTACAAAATACCATTTCCTGCAGGCTGGAACAGAATTTGACCTGGTTTTAAAACAAAACGTAAAGTGCTTAATGTATGGTACTATGTAACAGCATATTGTGTTATACTCTGTTTTATCCTCATTGTCTCCTGCATTTTTAAGAAAACTTTCAACTTAGCCTTGAAAAATAATAGTTTCTGGGGTGTATATGGAAAGTCCTTTTTCTGTTTCTACAACTAAGGTGGCATTTCTTTCCCATTTTGGCCTTAAAGAGTCTGCACTGAAAAGGGAAAAGAATGTGTTATGTTCCTGATAGCCTGTGTATGTGTCCATCCTTAGGGGTGCAGACATGCGCCTCTGTGTCCTTACTAAAAGGGACCTGTGCTCATCTTTCACACTGAGAACAGGCATCCCTGGATAGTGGAATTCCCATAGTGACTCTTGACAGCTCCTAGCTATGTAGACAGAGTGACTTGAGGATATTGATCGCATCAAGTCTGGGAACTCTGCAGAGTGACCCAGGATGCCAGGTCCGGAAACAAACACTTTGGAATGAAAATTGTGTGAGAGCTGTTGGTGTGGTGACCAAGGGGTTGGTCACTGAGTACTGCATACTGTTTGGATTTTCAGCTGTCTGATGGATGCTGGTTTCCATCATGCTCTCAGGTAAGCTACTGAGGAGAAGGAAGTAGTAGCATTTTGCTGTGCAGCAGGCTAATTGGGAAAGAGCATAGATATTCTCCTAGGATCCCCGTGGCCCAGGCACCACGCACAGGGACATCATCAGAACTGCTGCTGGACAGGAGGGGCAGGGCCTGCAGATGTGTGGTGGGGGAAGTTCCTTGTGTTGGAACTGAATCCCCTAGTTCTTTCGTAAATGTCCCCAGAGATATCCTGCAAGCTTCTTCTCTTCATGAGAGATATCTGGCTCACCAGTCCTGGGATTAGCACATTTTCTGCGTCTGATTGGATCAGCAATTATAAGGCCGAGAGTTAACTGAGACCCTTCAAGTTGTCACCTTGGGAGGCTGTGTACATTGCTCAAATGTTTTGGGCATTTTTCTTTCAACTGTGTACTTTCTCAGATGTTCTTATTATTGACAAATCTGTATCTTTAGAAGGATGAAGTGTCCAACTAAATATTTAGAAAAAAGTCATCTGAGTCCAGCTGGCAGATGGCAAGGGTAGGTGATCTAGCCAGTTTTCCATTTTAGGTTATGAAATCTCACGTGATCTATCTATAGGTTCTTAAAACAGTTTTGTTTTGTTTTGTTTTTGGTACTGGGGTTCGAACTCAGGACCTTGCGCTTGCGAGACAGGCGGTAGCACCACTGAGCTAAATCCCTGGCCCATTTTGAAACAGTTTTTGAAGCAATATTTCAAAACTATTTTGATTGCGTGAATTATTGAGCTTTTGGATGTACCTCTTTGAGGACACATGTTTAAGTGTACACATTCTGCTGCTGTATCTTTGTAAAGACGTATTGTTCTCTGGTGTTAAGACCATTATATTATTTCAGAATAACCTGAATCACCACTGGAGGCTTGCTAGGACCAGAGAATAACCCATACAAAATGAAACTGTTTAAAAAGAAATCTGCTGTTGGATGGAGTTGGAGATAGAAAGATCTGTACTGGAGTTGCTTTTCAAGTTAACCTTGTCCTAGGCTACAGGCTCTTTTTCTGCAAAACAGGGAATCACAGTAATGATGATGTCCACATCATAGGGTTGTCGTAAGTTTTAAAAGTGGTATTGCATGTGAAGCACAAATCACAGTGCCTTGTATAGAATAGTGTTCAATAGACATTAGCCATTTGTATCATGCTTCTGTGGTGTGATAGATTGCCTCAGAGAGAGGAAGGATGGAAAAATAGAGGGGGACAGGGTGCTTTTTAGGAAATAAAAATGCATTGACAGTAGAACAGGACTGGCTTCTGTTTGATTTTTAAAATTCCCAAACATGTTTAGTTGTACTCTAGTTATATTTACTGTAACCCAGATAGATGTCATGAATGACATGAGCAATATTTTTATTTTCATCCATCCCTAAAACAGAATTTTAGGTCTTTCTGGAGATTCTGATGATATTCCAAACAAACAAAAATGAAAACTCTGTACTGGTAATTCAAATATCTCACTAAATATGGTGTTGAGGGTTTAGATACCAGCTGTAAAAAACCCAGTTGTATTATGTTCCCATATAGCATGATTTTTGTACTTTAAAAAATGCAAATCTTATGTTTCTTTTTAAACAGACGAAGATGAAGATGGTGATAGAATTACTGTGAGAAGTGATGAAGAAATGAAGGCAATGTTGTCATATGTAAGTACATTACAAATGAGGACTATTTTTAAAAATGTTAATGTAATTGAGGATGCTGTTTTGGGGGCATGGTGAAGACACGCAAGTAATCACAGCTGCTATAACATTTTCTGTATAATAGATAAGGTTTTCAGAGATTTCCTTATGTGAAAGTTAAGGGCATTTCTTTTCAAAAGACACTTACTGATCATATCATGAACATTAAGAATAATGCATCTTAATGACTTTTGCATTAGGTATGGTGCAGACTAAATGGACTATCAATTTCCTGTATTTTTTATGCAGTACTTAAAGTAACGGCTCATTAAAAATGAACCCCTGGGCTGTAAAAATTTTTCAAAATCTACTTTCAACTGGAGATCCCTTTCACCCTTCTAGACTATAGTTATAATGTAGCTGCAGGCTTAATATGTAGACAGGATTTAAAGATGTACTCTCGGTCATTTTACTTCTACCCATTTTCCTACCCATACCCCAAAATGAACTAGAGGAGCACTTACTGATTCAAAGTGATTTGCATATATCTGGGAAAGACTTTGCTTTTGTGTTTCAGATTCTAGTGAAAATTTGCCTTCACACTTGTCTAAGACTGAAATAAAAGGGGTTTCTACATTTTTAGAGCTTTAATACTAAGCTTGAAAAATGCAGCAATGATGAAGAGATGTAACTTCGCTGACCCCCGATTTGAGCTTTCATCTCAATTTTATTTTATTTTATCAGAGTTTATAGTCTGTTTACAAAACCTTTATTTAGTGGTCTCGTAGAAAGAGCATTGGAGTAGAAGTAGGAGACCACAGCTCTGCTCTGGCTTCTTGGCCGTAGGCAGATCACTTAACCTTTCATTTGCTATAGATGTCTCATCTGTCAATTGTGGATAATAATACTTGTCCTTTCCTACTGCACAGGGTCATTGTAAAGACCAAATGGGATGATAGATGTGAAAGCTTTTGAAAAGTTAAAGTTCTATACAAATGTAAAGTGGTATTATGGTAGAATTGGGGTCCTTGTTTTTCATGGAGACTCTAATCACAGCCAACGGTTAGGTTGTAGGCTTTTGATAGACTTCTGCTTCAACCAGGATATTGTTTCATTGTAATGAAAACTGTAAACTCTCTGTATGGGGTTTCCGCCAATAGTTTTAATTTAGGGTAGGAGGAAAGAGAACAAGAAGGATGGCATGATTAACAGAGCATTGCATTCCAACCAGCACAGGGTAGGAAAAGTCAATTTCCCATTGACTTCCCATTAACTTCTGTGGGAGTCTTTGTGTACTGAGAATTTAGAGCTGAACTCATCAGTACTTGAAAGGCAGAGCAGGATTGTCTTCAGAAAGGTCTAGTACGCGTATTGATGGAGTAGCCAACTCTCCTGAGAATGTGACATGCTTATTTTTAGAAGACAGGCACGCATGGGAGTTCTGGTTTTTTCACCTATGTCTACTGCAGAGAACTGACATGATTGCACTTGCATTGTGTACATAAATAATATATATTTTTCAGAAGATCTTATAAATTATGCTTTTCTAGAAGCAGTACTGAGTATAATCATAGTGATAATAATTTCCTTTCTGAGTATGCTATATACTAAATGATTAAATTATTCTTTTTAAATTTTTGATAATCATTGTGAACTAGATAGTATGATCCCTGTTTTTAAATGAGTAAGATATGGTTAAAAAGACATGTCCATGCCTGGCATGGTGGTGCGTGCCTGCAATCCCAGTACTTGAGAGGCTAAGGCAGGAGGATCACTGTGAGTTCTAGGCCAGCCTGAGCTACATAGTGAGTTCAGAGCCAGTTTGAACTACAAAGGGAGACCCTGCCTCAGAAAAAAACAAAAAAAAAAAAGACATGTCCATGGCCTGTAGTCCAGCTATTCAAGAGGTTGAGGCAGGAGGATTTCAGGTTTGAGGCCAGCCAGACAACTTAGTGATAGTTTACTTTGTTAATAGAGGGGGGCGGTGGCACAGAGACGGAGACACCTACCCAAAGTCTTAGAGCTGTTACCAGATGGGGGTGGTGGGGGATTCTGTACAGATCCAGGTGACCTGAACAAAGAATTGGAAAAGATACATAGAAAAGGCAGCAAAGTGTAGATTTATTGAAGGGGGGGTACATTCCGTAAGGTTAGAGGGGTGATGAAAAGGTTCACAGTGCCCTAAGGATAAAGTGGGTCTTGCATGCTAAATACCTGGATTGGTCCCTACCTCATGCAGATATGGCATTTGTCCTATCAGAACTCACAGCCTCACACCACATGTAAATCATCCTATATAAAAACTTGCTTGACCTTTTGCCAGATGTAAATGAAGGCTGGGAAACAGTGTCTTTTCACTGGTCCCACCCATATGTAAATGAAGGCTTGAGAATATTGCTGTCTGTCTGATTGGTTCCCTGTACAGTGTTTGGGAGCCTTAAGCTTGGGGTCATTTTGGGTCCAGGACTGTGTACGTGTCTTCTTTCTTTTGGAAATATCTTGCCCAGCCTGTTAGTTGTGGGTTCTTATGACCTTTGACACATTTCACCCAGTTGGTTGCCTGGTTTTCATCAGCTCTAATCTCCTACCTCAGAACTGTTTGAAAATATGGAGGCCTGGTGGTACAGGCCTGTAATTTTAGTACTTGGTAGGCCGGGGCAGGAGGATCCTTATGTTGGAGGCCAGCCTGGGCTACATAGGGTTCAAGGCCAGCCTGAAATACATGGTGAGAACCTGTCTCAAAAAACCAAAAAAGGATATTAAATTCAGCGTCTCCTTTTTCCATAGCCTGTGCTCATTCATGGTTTCATTCATTTTCTCTTCCACCCACTGTCTTGTACATTTGTACTGGGAAATTTTTATGTCATCACCATTATTAAATTCTGAATGATTTGTTCTTATATAATACCTTAATTATTGTATCTGTACCATATATTCATTGCAACTTATTTTTTCAAATGCAGTATTTATTTTGTTATAGAAAAATACCATCATGATCACATAACATTACTTTATATAACATATCCTTAAATTTAAAAAAAATCCTCAAGATTTCTTAAGAGGTTCTATTTAGTTTGGAAAGAGATCATCTAGTTCACTCATCCCCAAATGTTTGAATTTTATAATGAACCCATTTTAGATTGGGGGATATAGGAGTAGTAAATTTTAATTTTGACATACAGAAACACTCATAAAATAAGTAAACTAATACAAATTATCCATTGCCATTATCTTACGAAGGAAAATAGTAATAGTAATTTAAAGAGTAAAACTGTGCAGGTTATAATCTCAAAAATTAAGACCACTATTTCTTTAAAGTGAATACTAGTTTTATGTAAAATTCAAGACATTATTCTTGGTCTTTTTAAATTTGCTGTGGATGTAATATACATAGTTCAATTAGGGATATAGGCTACTCCCCTTCACTCACTTGAACCTGGACAACACCACCCCTGACCTTTGTCCTAAGGCCTCTTATGCGGAGGCAGAGATAAGAAATACAAAGACCCCTTGGAAAATTCTGAAGCCCCAAACCAAGACCCATGCATGCCAGATCTTTCTGCATAGTCTTTCTGTACTTGAAGCTTATTGAAGGTTCATGAATATGGGCTGCATCTCCCACATCCAATTATAACAGAGTAAATTATGGGTAAGGACATGCGCGGTGGACCCAGCTGACCTGACTCAGCACCCTGTCAATCATGTAGTCAGTGATGCTCTGGGAGCCCCAGTGAGAGGGCTCTAGACCCAGTGCAACATTTAAAATTCTTATGCCCACGGCCTTCAGCACTTGTGCCATTTTCCTTTCCACTGGCACGAGCCCACTCACTGAGCATACTGTCACCTAACAAAACATTAATCTTTGCTGCATTTTCTTTACTGTCACGTACTACATCCAGTTATTTCTTCCTCATGCACAAGAACCTAGAAAGCTGTCCAGGATCCCATCACTATGGTAACAAATGGATGAAAACTTTTTATGATTTGGTACTGGGCCCTGGATTGTGGTCTAGTTGATTGGGTCCAGGTTTTCTCTAAATTCATCTAACAAAAATTTATAGATAGAATGTCAGCACCCGCACAGCCCTCCACTCATGCCAGTTTTAGCCTACTTAAAGCAGAGGTCTTTTCTGACTCTGAATGTTCAGCAGAATATTTTGAAGTGAAATGAAGATATCTCTGAGAGATGATGCTTTAGGTCATTTGAACCTTGAATGGATTTCCTTTTCCTCCTGTCTCTTGTTACCCTTTGTTTATGTAGAATCAAACTGTCACTGTTTAAAAAGGTAAAGAGTAGTTCACAGGCACAAACAAGACTGGTTGACTGTCATTTCCATCTGTCCTGCTCTTTAGGGTTGGAAAGTCACACAGAATCATTTGGATCTAATTTCACAATAGATTTTGGTGGATAGTCCTAATGACTGCCAGCTTTATTACTAAAAATTTCCATTGATCTTTATTTTTTAGATTCAATTTGGTTCTGAAAGTTTGATTCTAAGATTTGGTGTAGTAAAATAGGAGAGAGAATGACAGAGGATCACACTTTTATTGTGAAAACAAAATAAAAGCTTATTCAGTATAGAATTCAGTAAAATTGTGGCCACCTTAGTATTTAATAGCCATGTAGGGGGAAGCAAAAGCAGAGACCTTGTTACCATTGGTCCTTTAATTGTTCTTTTCCATTGATTATAAAGGTTGAATGAATAAACAGCCTATGTCTCTGCATAAGAATAAAAACATTGCAACATCTGAGTTGAAACTTGCAGAATTTCCTTTTTCCTGTCTTGGATGCAAGCATTTTTTGGCTTTGGGCCAACCTAAGTGTAAGTTTTTATCAGTAATTTAAATAGATTTTTGTATTAGACTTGAAAATGTTTCCTTTTTAATTGAGAACTTATCAATTATTTAAATTGCTTGCAGCCTGAGGCAGTTAATTTTATGAGCACCATAGTAATGGCATACAGTGGTTTTTGATACATGTGACATGTGGAATATCACATTGTGGTACGGATTTGTCATGACAA